AAAAAAAAAAAAAAAAAAAAAAAAAAAAAAAAAAAAAAAAAAAAAAAAAAAAAAAAAAAAGAGGTTCTGTAGGCTCTTAAAGAAAAGAGGTTCTTTATAAAGAAAAGAGGTTCTGTAGGCTGAGAAGTTCAAGGGCATGGCTCTGGCTTCTGGTGAGGGCTTTTTGCTACATCATAACATTGTGGAAAAGAATGGGGAAGTGGACATCAGCAAAGAGAGGGAAACCCTGAAGGCTTTATAACACTGCTTTATAACAACTCACTCTCATGGGAGCTAATCCAGTCTCTCTAGAGACAGGACCAAGCCATTCAGGAGGGATTGGGCTGCGTAATTCAAACACCTCCCACTAGGCCCCAACTCCCACCACTGCCACAATGGGGATCAAATTTCAACATGAGCTTTGGTGGGGACAAACGAACCATATCCAAACCACTGCAGCCATTTTCATTTTAACAACATTTATTATAAATTCACATTTTATAAACACTAGATAAATTACATACAAAAGCTAGACATAAATATACAGAAGCAAAACAAAAACAGCAGTACTATTAATGCAAGAGAAATAAGCTAATATAATGTTTAAACACATATAACAATTACCAATTTTTCATTGCTAGTAATTTTTCATAAATGCAAAAGCTATTCAGAAATGAAATGTAATACATTCTGATTACTATCAAAGTTTAGAATTATGGAAACAACCACCATAGCACTACTTATTTTTAAAAATCGTTTCAAACATTCAGAAGCCAAATGACTGTCCTTAAAGACAAATTAAATGGGTAAAAGGTCTTATCTCACTGAAGAATACAAAATTTTAAGCTTTGTTAATAGATACTAAGTTTAGTGGAAAATTTTAAATTAGCATCTCCCTTATATGTTATATTCCTGAGTTGTTGCTCAAATATCATAAAGAACTCAGTTTACAGCTTTGCATAACATTGCATTTTATTTTTGAAAAACAAAAAGTATTATTTTAAATGTGAATAATGGTGTTTAATAATATAACAGGATGCTGTCCCATTAATTTAGCTTAACTAAAGGAAAAACTAATGCCCTTTGACCACTATTTGCAAAGGTCATTTGAAAATTATGATCAAAATTATATTAAACCTGTCACCAACTTTTATTTGCACCTTATAAAATCACTGATTTTGTAATATTTAATGCCCTTATAAAAGAATTGAAATGATGCAGTGCTAATGGTTAGCACAAGGCCAGGCACAGGGTGAGTGCTCAATATTACTGATTAATTTAAAGTGAAAATCTTTTAATGTATTATTTCTGCACCTTAACATGCAATTCAATGTAGTAGTTATTAATTAATCCAAAAGTATCCAAAAACATTTTAAACATGAAAATACATTTTTAGTAACAATCATAGGAATGTTTACAAGTGGTTATTTTCAGTCTTAGTTTTATCAAAATAGAATTAAATTTCAGATTCCTTTTAAAAATAGGCCTATGA